GGTTTACAGAGAATGGTCTGAAAAGAGAAAATATCCAGTGAGCAGCAGTCCTGTGGGCGGAAATGCCTTGTTGATGCCAGAGGTCAGAGGAGAATGGGCAGACTGGTTCGAGCTGATAGAAAGGCAACAGTGACTCAAATAACCACTTGTTACAACCGAGGTAGGCAGAAGAGCATCTATGAACACACAACATGTCGAATCTTGAGGTGGATAGGCTACAGCAGCAGAAGACCACATCAGGTGCCACTCCTGTCAGCTAAGAACAGGAAACTGAGGCTACARTTCACACAGACTCAACAAAACTAGACAACAGAAGATTGAAAAAACATTGTCCATCTTCTGATGACTTCTTCCAGCAGGATAACGCTCCATGTGATAAAGTGTGAATCATCTCAGACTGGTTTCTTGAACATGACAATGAGTTCACTGTACTCAAATGGCCTCCACAGTCACCAGATCTYAATCCAATAGAGCATCTTTAGGATGTGGTGGAACGGGAGATTCACATCATGGACATGCAGCCGACAAATCTGCAGCAGCTGTGTGATGCCATCATGTCAATATGGACCAAAATCTCTGAGGAATGCTTCCAGCACCTTGTTGAATCTATGCCACGAAGAATTGAGGCAGTTCTGAAGGCAAAAGGGGTCCAACCCAGTTCTAGCAAGGTGTACCTAATAAAGTAGCCAGTGGGTGTATATATTGTCATCATGCCGAGGCCTGATGTCGATCCATATCATATACCTTTATAACACAGTTACAGTGTTTGATTGACATAGGAAATCACATCATATCATTCACTGACTTGTGAAATGACACTGAAATATCAAGAAACATTGTATTGGCATCCAAACAAATTGACTACTAAAAAAAGCTGGTGACTTACACCGCAGGTCACCACCAGGTGCCTGTATTTAAGAAAGCATCGTTGAATCAATTATATTTATTCTTCAAATTCTTCCACCTTTTTAGACTTTTAAATGTTCAGAAATACCTGCCAAAACCTCATTTTAAATGGGACATAGCATGTAAAGTCCACTTATTCTTCAACTTGATTTATATGTGAAAAAGAAGTTTTTAAAAACATATGTCTACTTTAAGACATCACTTCTGCACTTTGTTCTAGACTCTGTCAGACAAGCCCTTAACTCATCAGTCCAATTAGAGTTAATCTCTAACTCTCCAAACTCAGGTTAATCAAAGAGCTATCTGCAAGTAATTAGATATTCTTGATGTACTACAAGGAGTAGTATGGAGGACCAAACCTATCATTATTGGAAATAAATGTATAAATATATAACTGGCGTATTAAAATAAATTATAGGGTCAAAAAGAAGTTTGACAAATAAATTATTGTGCCATTAAATCAATTACATCAATTATTTAGATATAAATG